GTGTCGTTGGTGTCTGAGGAGCTGAAGCCACTGTGTAGCGGAGGCAGCGGCAGCGGGAGCGGGGAGGACGCTGAGAACCGCTCACTCCTGGTGCAGGTGGCGTCCCTCGGCCGCTCCTGGGTCCTCCGCCGGACTTATGAGAATTTCCGCTTCCTTGACCGTCAGCTTCACCGATGCTGCTACGACAGGAAGGTCTCCCGCCTCCCGGAGCTGCCCCCGGAGGAGAACCTACCCGGAGATGACAGAGAGGTGAGTGGTGGAAGAGGAGGATGGGTTAGGGAGGTGTGGTTGGGGTAGGGAGGGGTGGGGTGGGGTAAAGTTGGGGAAGGTAAGTGAGAGAAAGTGGAGAAGAGCCTGCCAAGAGACGACTGAGAGGTGGGTGTTGGGGAGGAGAGGAAGAGGAGTGGAGGGGAAGGGTGAGGATGGATGGAATGGGAAGGAAAAGAGGACCATCCTGCCTTACTAACACAGAGGGGAGTTACTGAGGGGAGTGAAGACTTGAAACAGTTATGGTAAGGAGAGGGGAGAGGGAGGGAAGCGTGGGTAATAAGAGGGGATGTTTTGAGTGTTGACAGAACAAGTGGACAGAAGACCTCAGTTAAGACTTATTAATAAACATAAATATCCTCTAAATATCCCCTCAAACTAAACAATTAACATCATTAGTGACTGAGAGTTACTTACTGCTACATGTTGAAGGGAAACACCGCCTCGAGATCGGGTGGTGTTGGGTAGAAAGTTCCAATTGAGATCAGGCATTCATAAGTGACGTTCATAGAGCTGACTAACTAACTCACACCCCTTCCCTCCTATAGACAGAATATCCAATAGGTATCATTACTTTAAGATTTTGTTAGGATTTATTTTTTTTTTACCTCAAGATTGAGATTTATTTAAAATTTTGATAGTCAATTTATTTATTGTTAGTTTAAATTCGACGAAGACAATCACAAGTCAGATATGTTGGGGCTCTCAATTGTGTGCAACAGATGTGGGTTTGTGTGTGTGTGTGTGTGGTGGTGCAACAGATGTGGGTTTGTATGCATGTTTCGTGGTGCAACAGATGTGGGTTTGTATGCATGTTTCGTGGTGCAACAGATGTTTGTTTGTATGTCTGGTGGTGCAACAGATGTGAATGCCCGCTATTGTTGTGTCGTGTCGCTCCGGCTGTCCAATTTATTTATGGAATGAAACAGTACGTGAGGAGAGGGGAGTGTGTGAGCGCTGATGTGATGGAATGGTTACACTGGATGGTGGAACGGTACAGTGGATGGTAGGACGGTACAGTGGGTGGTAGGACGGTATAGTAGGTGGTATTACGATGCAGTGGATGGTGGGGTGACTCTAGTGGATGATAGGACGGTACAGTGGGTGGTAGAACGGTACAGTAGATGGTGAAGTTATAAATTACAGTCCAAATACAGCAGACGCTTATGTAACCTCATATGAAAGGAATAATAGGTTAATAAATGGCATTGGAGATATGGTAGAATCGAGGGCTATTTCCCAGGCCTTATTGAATGGTTAAGAGGGGGTTCAAATTTGCTCGAGAAGGTCATGTTAAAGTGGTCTTGTTTCACCCTCTCCTCGCTGGCGTGTTCAGTTCACAATTTCCTTTTATAGTTTAGTTTGTTTTTACTCTTTTTTTTTAGAGTTGTGTATTCCGATCTAGGGTTAATGGTTGTTTATGGAAGTAGTAATGGTAGTGTGGTATATTTCACAATGTTTGGTATTGATTATTTCTTATTTATCTTTTTTTTTTCGTTATTTTTATCTCTTCTCTTTATTTTTCTTTCTCTTCTCTTATGTTTATCTCTATTTTTCTCTCCACTTATTTTCTCCCTTTGTCATCTCTCCTTAGATAAATGGCTCAAGGTAGAAGAGGATCCAGGGAGGTCTCTGTCTTGGTCTAATTCCTTGTATGTTTATTTTGTCTCTTTGTGGAGGGAAAGTGAGAAGTTTTGGACTATTGCTCGTTGCTATTGATTCAGGACTTATTTATTTATTTATTTATTTGTTTTGATTAGTTAGTTTTTTTAGACTGAAAATTTTCCTCCTTTGGTTTTATTTAAAATTATCGAGCTTACTTACTTACTTACAAATATACCGAGGATAATACACAAAAAACAATAATAATGCTTCTTTCTAATGTAATCCACCTATGTATACCTAGGAAGGAATTTACATATTATTGAAAGTATATAAATATTAGTTATAGATTAGAGAGAGAGGGAGAGACTCTACCTCAACTTTTATATTAGTTTGGGGTGAAAAGAGAACCGTTTTCTTCTAATGTTCCGAGATGACGTAATTCTTCTGCGGTAACTCGTGTAAACTAAGTTCTTGCCTAAATTAACTCACTGTGTACGTATTAAAAACCACTGTGTACGTATTAAAAATCACTGTGTACGTATTAAATCTCACTGTGCTGTGTACTTATTTAATCAAGTTGTATAGCCTCGCATCCAATAGTGTATTTTAGGTAACCAGTCCATTAATAATGGTTGAATTTATTACACAAATTTAATGTTTTTTGTATAGTATTGATTTGGTGGTTGTAGTGATGGGTGATGGTTGTTGGTTGTAGTGATGGGTGATGGTTGTAGTGATGGGTGGTGGTTGTAGTGATGGGTGATGGTTGTAGTGATGGGTGATGGTTGTAGTGATGGGTGATGGTTGTAGCGATGGGTGATGGTTGTAGTGATGGGTGATGATTGTAGTGATGGGTGATGGTTGTAGTGATGGACAGTGGTGGTAATAGTGATGGATAGTGGCGATGCATCAGGTAGACTCAAGGCTACCATACTATTGTAGAAGCCTCGTAGTATATTATGTAGAAGCGTAGTTAATGGCCAGATACTGAGATCACTGAATATCCTATCATATACAAATATATATACGTAACATAACATAGAAAATAGAAACCACAATGTTATTTTTTTTCCCTCTGTGATTGAAATAAAGTTTTGGGTCTGATTTAAACCAGGAGCAATGACTCACAACACCAGCTGGGAGATAGAAGGTTAGGTTAAGTTAGGTTAATTTAGCGTTGATCCGTTTTCTAGTACACTTCAGCTCTTAAGAATATTAACCATTTGAATATTGGGCCGAAAATCCCGTCGTTTTTGGTTGAGTTCAGGTGGTGTAAAAATGATTGTTGTGGTTGTTGTTGCCTTTATGTATGGAAGGTAACGTAGGGAAGTGTGTAGGTAATTACTATTGATCTCACCAGTGGATGTCTAGTCGTCTCTCTCTCTCTCTCTCGTCGCCGGAGTTGTTGTAAAAGAGAGAGCTGCCCCCCCCCTTCCCCCCCTCCCTCCCCGTTTCTCTGCCTTTCCTATCCTCCCTCTCTCCCTCCCTCTACCTCTCCCTCCCTCGTTATAGAGTATGTAATAATAATAAAAACATTGCGTAAAATAAATCCCTGCAGGAATCTATGTGAGGGAACAGCCCGTGAGGTTTGGTGTTGGTTATTGGACGGCTGAGTGGCAGGTGAGGGGGGTCTCTTTCTCTCTCTCTCCCCGATACTTTTTTGCTTTTGTTTACCTTTTTAGTTCTTAAGTGTCTACAAACCCCACCCAACATAAACACACACACACACACAATACACACACACACACACAACACACACACACACACAGCTGCAAAAACCGTGACAGTGATGAGTTCAGCAGAGGCCGCCAGCCATCACTGACCTCCCACATACACGTATCTGGGAGTTGACCTACCTACCTTCCTGCCTCCTCCACGACCTCTACCTCCTCCTCCTCCATTACCCCCCTCTTTACCCTCCTCCTCCTCTCACCCTTCTCCTCCACCCCTACCTCCTCCACCCCTACCAACCCCTCCAATACCCCCTTCTTCCCCTCCATTACCTCCTCCATCACCACCCACCATAATACACCCCTGGGATTATGTGACCCGTAGGAGCTTTTCTTATGTAAACCACGGGGGCTGTAAGTTACCCTGTGGTGAGGAACACAGAGAACCATCTTCCTGACGCACTGATCCGTCTAGCTGTTCTTACCCTAGGCAGTATCTAGGCCTATGTGAGCATGTACAGGTTGCTTTACTCGATAGGTCTATTATGGATCGCTTGTAGATTAGACACCCCCTGTTTAATTCATCTGAAGATTAAACACTCTAATTCTAACTTAAAGTAACAAATTAACGTAACCTAATCTAACCTAACGCTAACTTGAGCTAACCTCTCCAAACCTAACCTAACCTACCTAACCTAGCTTATCTTAACCTAACCCTCTCTAATCTAAGTACATAAAGATCACGTCTAACACACACACACACACACACACACACACTGATAACCACAAGGAAACAAGAAAACACGAAGTTCCCAGGCATTTTCGTGTAATTCAC